CTAATATAATTTTGGTTTATACATATAAAGATTAATATACATACAACATCACACTAAACTATATTAGGTACAGCGCTATTTGCAAAGCGTCAGCTATTCCCAGGAACGGTTATCTAAAAAGTGACAAGTTGCCACTGTTATAATACGTGACCCGTAAGTTGAACCAAAAAGGCGATTCTTCGTGTAAGTTCCATTCTTCGGTATACTACATTGCTATGGTTGCGTGCTGTGTCTTATTAACCCCGCGCCTCGACTGAGACCCGAACATATACCATCACGCAGTCGCCACTTTGGTTCAATTTACGGATCCTGCGTTATAATCTACTTAGGGCAATTGACTTCATTTTGGCCACTGATCTTTCTTTAATTTGGCCTTTTGGACTTAAGAACATTGTAATCTCCCTCTTAAAATGGCCAAAACTGGGCCCCAATTTTAAATTGGCCAAAAATCGGGTAATCTGCCCTACACGAAAAAATATGTATTTTAAATACCAGTAATCGGAACCTACGGTGGCTTCAAATAATCTCAGATGTTTGATAGAACGAGTAGATTTTGTAATTTATATTGTTCCACGAAACTGCAATTGCATTTGTCTTTTATAAAAGTGATATATCGATATATTATTTGAACATTACATGAATGAAAATCAGTAAGTAGGTAGGTCATATTTTTTTTGAAATGTGGTATGATATAAGACCATTATACAATGAAAAATATTCTGATAGCCTTAAAATATTCTACTTTACAAGTTTCTCTGTTCGGTTCCTAGCAAGCTGTGTCCAGCGTCCACTGGCTATGTTTATTGCAATCTGGCGGCTAAATGCTCGGCTGCTTACCCTTTACTGCCCTTTTGCTACACGCGTTTTGCATATAAATCTTTATCTCAAAGCATTTTAATAAAAGCGAATTACAATTAATTTATTACCACTTTACTTTAATGTATATATTCTCCTATGAGTATGTTTAAAATTTCTGTTTAAGAATTTCCTTTTAGTAATATAAAATGATAGGCCAAATATTATACTCTAAAATATTGTTCCCACGGATTATGTGGTTATAGATTGTTATTATAATACCCAACAATAAATAATTTGTTTATTATAAATATTTAAATTTTAGTCCATTCTCCAAATATTTTCTCTTTATATTAATCTTAAACTTAACTCGATTCCTGTTAATTATAATTTTATGTATTTACACTTATATTTCATTGTTTGAATAAGGCAACTCTGTTTAGTTATAATAAAGAATTTCTCGTTACAGTGTAAAATATTTAAGTCTGCGCAAAACAATGTTATAATACTCAAAGCATAATTCTACGATAGCATTCGGGGCTGGTCAGCGAAGGGTTGTTGAACTATCTCCCTATCTCCTGGCTTGCAAACAATGCGCCCTTGTATGCTTGGACTTAAATAAAAGGTTTGATTTCGTGTTTTAAAATAGGGTCGCCTACTCGTTATACAAAGAAATTCAGGAATATCATCAATAAAAATCATTGCCTATACATAAATATGGTCACATGTAAAGGTATCTATTTAATTCTCCAATTGTAATATTTAGTTACTTACCTCTAACGTAAAACATGACAAACGTAACTATTTTTATTTAGACATTTGACTATTACGCGTACTTTATATGTACTTAAATAGTGATATAAAGGGTTAATCCGTTTCTATTTCGAAGATGAGAAAATGTAATTAAGTTATGTCACAAACCCAGCCACATATTTTTCTAACACAGAAACTAGGACCCTGAATTTTAAGATATCATTTTGGATAAGATAAAATTTCATGATGTTTACTTACTACGGTTGCGTTCGATAATACATACATATAAATGTTATTTTATTAGTAAATACGTATTTATTCTTTTCCTTAATGATAACAAATGGGTATAATAAATTGAAGAAAATTATTGTAATAATTTGCATCACTGACAACCCTAATTGACAAAGGCCTCCATCAATATTTGGAGAATAGACCGACCGATCTGCATAGCTTCATTACGTCCTCGGCTTTGAGGTGTATTGTTCAATATAATTAATTTATTGACTTTCTTGAATATCTTTATTGGTTACAGAACATGAAAATAATTTAATTTAGGTATATTATTTCTGACATTATTATCTATATTCAAAACTATATAAGGAAAGTTTCTGTGTCTTTAAGTATATACTTCTTGTTATAAATATTGTTGGTCCTACAGTTTTACAGGTAACAATATTTATTCGAAACTACTGATTTGGGAATATGAGTAGCTTTATCTGGTATTCTAAGAGATATACAAAATATTTAAAATAGCATAAATATTTCTTATTTATAATAATTATTTTGATCTTTCATTTTTCAAGATTCATAGACGAATCGCACAAATCTAACTTTTGAAAAATTGCCACCATTGATTAAATAGATGAAACTTAGTTGGCAGATTTGTTCTGTGAATGGTTTTACGAGTTTTAATCAAAATAAATAATATTGTGTTATACTGTATATATGTAAGTTATTTGTTAACAAAATAAATGCCTATTCTATTCTAAACGAATTAATGTAAGGCAGCCAATACATGATAATAAATACAACTAGAACACTTTTTTTTCATCATACCTCTACTTTAGGGAGTATATAGGTAGGTTTATCGAAATGATGTTGTTTCCTGTAATGATTATTCTCAAAAGTCAATCGTTTGAAGCAAAGTTCTTGCAAATATACCCCTATCTACTACTCTGAACATATAGTCAACAGCATAACAAGTTACTAAAAAGGTCCATTCGATTTTCAGCGTAATTTTTTTGTTAGTTGAAGTTCAGACATGAATGCAAAAATTTTACAATTTGTAGTGACATGTTGTGTTTCTGTGTATTGCAGTAGAAAAAGTGACTTTCTTAACATGAAGTTTATGTTCATTTGGAAGAAGCCCTTTTTTAGTCTAGCATATTAATATTCATAGACAAGATTCACACACATTAGTATTAGAATAATTTGAGTTTTTGTTATTAATAATTTTGTTTTATTTATCAAATTATATTTTTAACGTGCATGCTAAGTTCACCTTTAAGTAGTTGTGCATTAAGCAATAAAAACATAATAGACTATGTACTTATAAGTGATTAATTGTAACAACTGTTGGTGAGAACGAACGAAGTGAGAAGAGAAGTAATAAAGAGAAAAAAAATCTGTTAAAATTCAAATATTTGGCTGGAACCCTCTACGCTTAGGTACGACTTGCTCTTGCCCGACTTAATTATAATGCCCGAGCAAAAATAATGAATATATTTAATTGACGAATTGATATTTGTGCTCCTTTGTAGATTTTCTTTTAATTTAAACAATAAATAGAAAGCTAGTGCAAGGTACTTAATAAATTTGTAAAGATGGTAATATTTATCAAAAGCCGTTAATTTATGTCCAGTTATACCAGTTATGGAATAAATTTGAAATATCTACCTATATAAAAAGACATATCTGGCCCAATTAAAATATTGGTTATTATTATTTATATGTTTAATACATTGAAATATATTATTACATTTTCGTCGTCTCGTAGTGCAAACATTCGTAGTAAGTCCGGTTACGCAAGCCGGTACAGTGCAAGCAATAAATTCTGGCCAACAATGCATTGATTGAGTTTATGTCCCCTTCTCAAATACAGCCCTTCAAGCTACGACAATTTCAGTATAATCTATCTGATATGGCAAAAGTGACCTTGCTGCTTTCGTTTAAGAATTATTATATGTCATAAAAATATATATCGAACCTTTGAGTCTTAGAGACAGGATTGTTTAGTTTTTCATGAAAAGAACTATAAAAGAAATAAAAATATTAGAAAAAAATTATCAACTTAATACACGGATAAATGTTTTAGTTTGTCGATGAGGTAATTCTTAGGTTTGGAAAATTAAAATTGTGCGAAAATGTTTTAGTGTAAAGTTTTGTTCCCATTTTTAGTTTATATTTTCGACTGAGTATTCATCATATTATTATATAACATGATAAGCCTGTAGTAATAATAAGTTAAAAGTAGTAAAAATATATATAACCACTTGGCAGATGTTTAGGTTGACTATTAGTATAAGAGTAAAAAAATACAAAGTACATTAATGTATTCTTCTTCTTTTTTTGTTAATTAGTACATATTACCCCTGGCATGTAACAAAGAATAAATAAATATTTAAAATTAATTCACGATATTTTTTTGACCTTACTTTTTCACAAATAATCGTTACTTTAGCACTACTACTGCTCTTGGTGTATGCGCCCTGCGTTAAATTTGGCTCTTCGCAGCTGTTATCTTCACATACTGCCATTCTATTTCAAAATATGCTCTTCAAAATATAGATATATGATAATGATGCTTTTTTCAGAGAGATTGATAATAATTATATGGCATTTTAATATGTGAATTAAGTTCGACTTTGAAGTAAACTAAAAACTTTGCTAAGTAATAGAGCTTATAATTGCCAGTATTTATTAGGCTCACGATTTATTTAAATAAATTCCACGGGTATCCTTTCAGATCATAAAATATGCATTAATTCAACTTAAGAAATAAAATTTTTGGTAGCACGCACTTATCTTCAAATCTTCGTTAGCGTAACATACCACACTAAACATTTTAAGGCACTTGTTCAAACTTTTAAACGACTTTTGCTGGTATGATTATGGCAGCGGTGTTCGACGAGCGTTCGCCGACGATCGAGTTGGCTGCTAAATGCCGCAAGAGCCGCACGCCATCCCGCTTGCACCGCCGCGGTTGGCGCACCTCTCACTCGCGCCGGCGCGAACACGTGTTTATTTGTATGTTTTATCCTTCGGCGGCTTTAAACCCAACCCACCCCGACCGCAAAGTGCGCTCCGCCGCCCGTCGCGCCCGCGCCGTCGCCGCCTCTCGTTTGCCGCGGAGCCGCACCGACTCGCCCGCGAAACTTTGTCCGAAGTCGACGGGCGCGGACGTACGTCGCATATTAATAGCCACCGTGAACGGTCACCGCAACACCCCACGCGAGTCGCACCACAACCGAGCTCGCGGGCGCACGCATGTCACGCACTCTTACCCTAGTGTAAACTATTCATCACTCACGCTCCATAAAAGCAAAAACGGAATCACAAATAGTCGAATGTGACCACATGGAAAGTGAAAGCACCGTACGTGCGTAAATATACTGTACTAAAAAAAGTGCCGCAGTCAGTGAAACCAGTGAAAAGTTTTTCGCTACGCGGGGGAGCCACCCCTCGCCGTCACGAAAAATCGGCCCCTCGCGTCCCTCGCTCGCCGCCGCCGAACTTTTCATTCACCGGGGAAAAAAGTGTGGCAAGGCCGTCGTGACGTCACCGCGTCAAGTGGCCACGCGCTCGTTCCCTAGCAACGAGTGGTGTAGGAAGTGAGTGGAAGTGCGAGATGGCAGTGCTCAGCGAAGGTGGTTCTTGCTCGCGATGGTTGCCGGCACGGCGGGACGCGTGACATGTAGCTTCGGCGGGCCTGGACTATATGTGCAGCACGCAGCGCGCGCGCGTCGCGAGGATGCACCTCACTGGCGCGAGTTCGGGCGCCGTGTCGCCTGACACCAGCTCCACGCTCCTCCACGAAACCTACACAAAGATGACATCAGATATCCTAGCGGAACGAACACTTGGCGACTTCTTGTCCGAACATCCAGGAGAATTAGTTCGGACAGGCAGTCCCCACTTCGTGTGCACGGTGCTACCTCCGCACTGGCGATCGAACAAAACACTGCCGGTAGCTTTTAAAGTAGTTGCTTTGGGGGATGTGGGCGACGGAACTCTTGTGACAGTGCGAGCAGGAAACGACGAGAATTGCTGCGCGGAGTTGAGAAACAGCTCGGCGGTGATGAAGAATCAAGTGGCTAAATTCAATGACTTAAGATTTGTCGGCCGCAGCGGGCGCGGTGAGTGCTGAAGGTGCAGTTATTTGTTAACACTGATAACAGACAACTAATATCTAAAATCAATATTGTGTAACAAAATCAAACACATACCTATGAAACTTCTAACTCTTTTGGGTACTTCGCACTCTTAAAAACTTTACACCCAAAAACAACCAAACTCCATGACATTGAAAAGTGCTCAAAACTTTTTCGCACTTCTCAAGGGGCTTTCTGAATGTCAATGGGAGGGCGGGAGATCGGGCGGACATACCGCCCTACTGGCCCGCCCTTCTTAAGAAAGTTAACTTTCTTAAACGAATACAGATCTCTTTATGAAACAGCGCGTAATGTTTATCTCGGTTAAGGAACTCAAAACAACTATTTGATTTTAATAGTTGTTTTGAGTAACAGATAACAGGAATATTCATAAAACATAAAATCACTCACCACTAATGTCTTTTAAACAAATTAACAACATTAATAAATAAACCAAATATTAAGAAAAAAGATATGTTAACGTCTTAATAAGAAAAACAGATTTAGTTTTCCTGCTTTCTTAAGAAATGCAAATAACTTGTAGCATATGTAAATAAATTGATTCAAACATTATTTCAAAGGAGATTTATTATTTATCTTAAAAACAGTTTAATTGAAGAAACTGCAATTGAAGACGGTCGGTTATCAATTTAATAACCTACGAGAAATTTCCACCAAATATGACGAAACTATCTATTAAATCTCAATAAAAGTGATAGATGATCAGTAGACCAATTTTGATAATATTAGTCATAATAGACTTTACTGTTAACACCAAGCCTACGGCTAAAGAAACCTTGTTCATCGATCAAAACATTTCAGTAAAATAATTATGATCTTATCACTGAAGCTTGCATTTATAAATAAATAAAATAAAACAAAAAAGCACCACGGCTTCCTAAAAGTTCGATTAAACCTATAATCGAACTTTTAGGAAGCATCTATTAAAAATATTGTTATTCAAATTTAACTTTTTATAAGTTAAATCAATATTTGCCATTCGGAAATAAACGTAGTTAACTTCCTCTTTTTCTACCATTGATTTTTACTATAAGTGCGGAACGTTTTTTTATCTGATAAATAATTAGATGGAATGAAGTGTACCTGTATCCACATATCAGATATTATAATAAAAAAGTGATTTTGAAAATGTAGAATTAATATTTTCTTCCTACTTCTGACTAGCACTTTACATTTTTGGATACGTTTAGATCATTGTGGATACTTAAATAATATTAGACATATTATAAAACGTAGTAGGTAGTTACCGCTATTTAGTAACAGGAGTGGAACTCGCATGAGAATCGTTGCTATGCCTATATAAATTTTTCAACCGACTTCATAATCGATAATGAAGAGGTTATATGTTCGACGGCTATGTATTTTTTATGTTTTCAAAATTCTGTCTCAATATTTTTTTTTCGTTTTTCGCTTAATGACCTGAGATGGTCTCATTTAAATTATATCTAAATTGAATTAGTACTTTTCTATTTATAACAAAACAAAATATGCTTTTTATATATCACCTAAATATTGCGTATTTTACATTCATTCAAAATATGAAAGAAGAATTTTCGATGTTTAACGGGTGTATATATAAATTTTATGTACGTAGGTATGTCCATCTATATTTTTCTTCTTGAATTGTAAACCAATTCTATCAAACTAGCTGTTTTTCACGATTTCGCCTGTGTGAATTGTAGCCTATGTCCCCCGCGTATTATTAGCTTCAAGTACAAAGAAATTATAATCAGTCCAATAGATTTAGAGCCTATCCAATGCAAACAAACAAGCAATCAAATCTTTCCTCTTCATAATGTCAGTTTTGTTTTCAGATAGGAAAAAAAATATGCCGAGAAAATATACAAAGCCACTTCCCTGAGCCTTTCACTATGTTAACATATTTTTAATATCTATATAACAATCTATTACATATAAAATATCAATATCACTAAAAAGCATGTTTTCCTATTTATTTATACTTCTCTATAAATATAATAAAAAATGTATATAGTTTAAATTTATAGGGACATCATTTAAGGAATTTCGATCTTTATCTAATTAATAGCGTTCTGATTTACTGATTATCACTTTTTAATTTAACCTAAAAAGTTGATAATCAATAAATCAGAGCAAGTAATTTTCTTGGAATATGTCACGAAATATTCACTGTGTGCTAAGTACTAGGTGGGAGTAACGCGGCGCTCATGGTGGCCAAAAGTAGAAAAATTGCGAGCTCTGTCATCTGTCATACCATACTGTGTATTTGTATTTCTTTCTACTGAATTAATGTTAAAACGGTAAATTATTCATGATTTATCATATAAAAAAACAATGTTTTTTTAATCATATAAAAAAAACAATGTTTTTTTTATTCATAATATAAAAAAAAAACAATGTTCTTTTATGTTATGATTTAAATCTAAAAAATAATTGGTAATTGATAAAACATTAAATAAACGGGGCGGAAACATATTTAGTACTTTTCCCAATGTTAAAATAACAGTAAAATAACATTCTGATAAATTATCTTTGTTATTAATATCATTGTTTATACAAGTATTTTCTAAATACAATGACTAAAAACAGAGTTTATGTTTCCTTTTATGATTTACTTTTTTATTGCTATCTAATTAATATTAAAACAAAAGCGAATATTACTCATTTCAATCTAAAAACCATATTTCTTATATTACTAATGGTATCAATAGTAACACAAATGGAAACTGATTATTCCTATACATATTCAGACCTGGTGACACCTTGAAAGCAGCGAACTAAACACCCGGCTAAGGAAGTAAAAATATTATTCGTAAATTTATAAACAAAACGAAATTATTATGATGAGGTCTATTAATCTAACAGGTCGTGGCCAATTTGTTCTAGATCTATATTTATATACATAGATTTGACAGTAATATTTCTAATTTAGTAATTTATCCGAAATTTATCCACCAAATGACTGTTAAATTAATGATGTATCCATTGGCTAGAGAGTAAGCAGGTACAGGTGGCTGTGGAGCAATGTAGAGTACGTAAAAGTGTAATACATACATGGGACGCACTAAATGTTTCCATAACCAATAATAAAAAAATACCAAAAATGAATTTCACATCACATCACACATCACCAGCCCTTTTACGTCCCCACTGCAGGGGCTCAGGCCTTCTTTATGGATGGTTAAGGAGGATGGGCCATGACCCTCCACGCTGGCCCAATGTGGATTGGAGGATATTAACGACTGCAAATGCAGCCGGGACCAACAGCTTAACGTGCCTTCCGAAGCACGGAGTAGCTCGAGATAATAATTTTTTGGTCACCCATCCCGTGACCGACCCTTGCGAAAGTTGCTTAACGACTACGATCGCGGGCCCCGGCACTTATCCACTACGCCACCGAGCTACCTAATGAATTTTTTAAAAATGAATTTATTGTTTTGCAAATTACCCTCCCTTTGCGTCAGTAAATCTGTAGCTATAAATCCATATTTCGTCTACAGTTACTATGTTCCACACCAAATTATTAAATTAAGCCCCTTCGTTAAATCTGGCAAGCAAAATTTAGCATCAAGTGAAACGGTTAGTTTTTTAGTTTCAGACAAATTGTGTGGGAGACAAGAACATGGATTTCTCACATGCAATTGTTAGTGCAGGATTGACTGTATTTGACTCATGGCTATGTCTAAAGATGTCTGGATCTCATAGAAGGTTACATACCTGTCTTTTTTTTATCAATGTTTTTGTCGTTCGCAGCGTGTTCACCGCGTTGATACGACTATGTTTAAATTATGCAAACCAGGTACAAATCGTCGTCTTGCATGGTGCTTCTTTGCCTAAAGCAGATTAAAACCGAACGAAGCTCTGCTGAGCTGTCAAATAACATTTAAAATCGTAGTTTCCATTCGTGTGCTTATCTGAATGCTATTTTAAAAATTTCTAGAGAAAATTAAAACTGCGTAAAAAGAATCCTGACTAGGAAGGAAGCTCGAGGAAGGCTCAGGTGTATAATTTAGTGCGTCCCATGTATGTATTACACTTTTACGTACTCTACATTGCTCCACAGCCACCTGTGCCTGCCTAACTCTCTAGCCAAAGGATACATAATTTTATTTTACTAATTTAACATGTCTTTTGGTAGATAAATTTCGGATTAATGACTAAATTAGAAATATTACTGTCAAATCTATGTATATAAATATGGATCTAGCACAAATTGGCCACGACCTGTTAGAATAATGAACCTCATCATAATAATTTCGTTTTGTTTATAAATTTACGAATAATATTTTTACTTCCTTAGCCGGGTGCTTAATACACTGCTTTCAAGGTGTCACTAATTCCTGGGTTCGATTCTCAGTCGGTTTAATTTAGAAAATAAAATTTTCTATATTGTGTGGTTGTTGTGGTTGGCTCGGATGCTTCATAATACGGGGGCTTTATAGCTACTCTTCTTGGAATTGTAAAATTCAAAAATTATCTCCGAAATTATTGAGCTTAAAATTTCAATTAAAAATAAATCATTAAGAATATTTTCTAGTATAGCATTGTGAATACAAAATTGATCAAATATAATAATTAAAACAAATTTCCATCTTTATCGAAAGCTTAAAATATTTGTGTTGCCTGAACATTGATGAAAATACGCTCTGTAGTAATGAAAAGTACTTGAAAATGGTGTATGGCCTCCGGGCCGATCCCGTGAATTGCCTTCCATGCGAGGAACATCGCTCAGTTTTAGTGGGTAAACTCCTGCTTCTTGTCTAGCCCCTTCGGGAATAGGGCCGCAGGAGAAGTCCCACATAACCCGTGGCGCTCGCGCTGGTTGAAACGGGTATGCGTAACGCATTTCTCAGCGTCAAAAAAATGGTCCTGGGTAGCTCAGTGGTTAACGCAGTCGCCAGGATTGCGAAAGGTCATGGGTTCGAATCCCATTTCAGAGTATCAGGGACAAAGCGGATTTTTTAAGCTTTTTTCATTAAGAATAT